TCCCATGTACTAGACCCCCGGGAGGGAGATGCCGCCTCTGCTTGATGACCACCCACCCCTGCACCCCGATTGGCCAGCCGACCCATCACGGCCCACCCTGGGTGGTGGGGGTCTTACTCTGATCAACCTTGGGACGCCTGATGCTGTTGGACAGGCTGATGGTGAGTGGAGCGGTCCAGGTAGGCTTACGATCATCTCTATAATCGGCTGCCTTCAGTCCGGGCCTGATCAAAGCTCATCACCCGCACTCATGAACCCCCCCACAGTGTGTCACGCTGCATAGTGCTGGGGGGGTCATGCTGCTGATTCCTGCCAGGGGGCTATTACTAACTCCTGACCCCCCACCTGAAGGCCAGAGGTCACATGAGTCAGAGTTTCTCCGAAAGGGTGCCGGCCGGGTGACCTGACGAGGGCAGGCCTTCCCGGTGCAGCTGTGCATGCTGGGATACCGCATTGGTTTACAAAGCAACACCGTGGACACAACTTAGCGCTTGGGCTGCGACAACACGGGCATGGTAAATCACACTGTGGTGAGGGCGGCCTGGAGAGAGAGAGAGGGGGAGGGAGAAAGAGCCAGGGAGGGAGGGAGGGAGAGGGATGGACCATCACCGATCGCCGTGGGAAGCGTTGCTAGGAGACCTCGCTTTTCGGGCCAGTGCCACAAGTAGGCGCAAGCTGGACGGTACCTCCACCCCCCCCATCCGTGCCCCGTCACCCACCGCCGACATCACCCGGTGATGCAGGCACACCGAGGCCCGTAGTCACTCTCACCCCACAACAGGTTTATCGGTCACTTCCAGAAAAGCCCCCGCTGGGATTCTCTGGTGTTTTCCTGGTTCCGTCACTCTCCGTCATTCCGGTTCTATTTCTGGAACCCCCCCCCCGTCATTGAGCCCTACAGCTCGGATGGGCCAGTGTCGCCCTTGGCCTGGACGTCTGGAGGATGCTGGTCCCCTGGCTGCCTCCGCCCCTCAAGGCGTGGGGGTGGGGGGGGCAAAGCTGGCCACCATTAGGAGCTGTCTCTGATGTTTCCCCATTCGCTTTCTTAATCATCCAAAAAATGCAGCTCCCTGCCCCCCCCCCCCTGCTGATGGAAGACGAAGAGAAATGCTCGCAGTGAAAATGCAGCGAGGTGCATGCTGTTTAGAAGCACAACAAAGGGGGGAGGCACATATTCCAGTGGAGAAGTGACAGCTGGACCCATTCATTTTCTCTGCCCCCCCCCCCGGTGCACCCGGGAGGTATAGCCTACAACCTCCCGTCCCCCCAGGCCCAATGGTGGTGAGCTGGATTGGATTGGACAGAACCTGAGGGGACCATGAGAGTCACAGCCGGGCAAATCCGGCGCTAATTCTCTGTGTGAGTCACTGCGCGGCCTCCAGCTCGACCTCCTCCTCCGGTCCTCTCCCATAATGCTTTGCGATGCGTGAAAAAAAAACAAAAAAAAAAAAAGAAGCTCTCACACTTTCACACGCCGCCTCTCACTGCCGGAGCGGCCGGGAGGATGCGCATTTCTGCCGCCGTGTGGCTGCCCACAGGACCGTGCCGCTCACAACAGCCGTAAACATTTCACCGTCTTTCAAACAAACAGAACCAACGAGAAATGGGGGAGAGAAAGTCCGGGAAACAGAGGGGGGAGGGGGTAATTAGGGGGATTACTGGAAGAGGGATCGGGGCATCCAAAGAAAAGTTAAACAAGGCGAGATTTACGGCAGTGGCGGTATCTCGCATCAAAGCAGGGCAGGAGAGCGGTAACGGCGGCTCCACCGCAGGCTGCCCTCTTTCTGCTGACTGTGCGGGGCTGTGGGGTGACTCACAGGCCGGGGCATATCCCCCCCCCCCACACCACACACGCTCCAGCTGCTTCTAAAATCCCTGTGGGTAGGGGGGAAGTGTGGGCTGTAAACAGTGCCCCCCCCACAAGGATACAGGTCTGCTCAGAAACACCTGGTTTTCATCTAAAGCACAGGTCAGCTGACACGGCCTGGACAGATCTGTCCGTTATGAAGCGGGACTCAGGGCGCCATCACCAGGATGAATCAGGGAAGTGCGGGCCACGGAGGTCCAAGACGTGATGTTCCTGCTGAGCCTGGCATGCCTGAAGAGGGGCGGGGTGGAAAAGGTACTATCCCAATGAGTGGGACGGATACAGATAGATTAAGTTTCCCGTCTCCGAAGCTTGAGGGCTTGGAGTTAAGAAAATCCCCGCCCACGGCACGGACAGACTCTCCAAATGACGTCCAGCTCGGTCGCAGTCAAAAGTCAATCGATCGCATCTCTGTCCGTGTAAAATTATTCAGTGCAATTCTGCCGCCACACGTCCGTGCTGATTAATATTCAGCGCTGAAAAGAGGGAAAAAAAAACTGAAATAAACGAAAGCGTGGGGGCGGTGGGTCAGCGGCGAGGGATGAAGGGCTGGAGGGAAGTCCTGCTGGTGGTAAGTGGAGGCGCTGGGAGCACTGGGAGGCCGGTGACCGCGGACAGGAAATGCACGCGTTCATACTCCGGCAAGGACAAAAGATGCAGCAGCGGCCGGGATGAGTCAACCCGTAAACGACGAGAGAGAAAGCGGAGTGACGGAAGAGAAATAACGGTGGAGTGGTGATTTTCACCGTTTAAATAAGTTTACGAGTCTCCAAGGGCTGTTGGAACAATAATATCGCTAACTCAGTGTATTCATTAAAGTGCGATTTGTGATTGGTTAGAAATGAGACTCCGCCTACAAGGGGGCAGGGTGTGCAGACCGTACCGTGGTGTCCAGCGGCGTGACGGGCTTGGCAGGGATGTGCCGGGGGGTGGGGTCCTGCGCCGTCAGCACCACGCAGCCCTGGGGACCCAGTGTGACGATCACGGAGCCACACCCCCGCTGCAGAAACTCCTCCCCCGCCCTGGCGGCATCCTCCACGCTGCGGACCACCACCCCCGTCAACAGCTCCGCCTGTGGGGTTAAGGTTAAGCGAGTAGGGTGGTCGCGGGTTCAAATCCCAGCGGGCCGCTTTACTCGGGGGGGGGGGGAACAGAGGCCTGGGCTGTGAACCCAAACAATCCCTTTAGCACCTCAGTGACCAGGCAGTGTCAGCGCTGCACTCCGGAGCCGCGGACGCCCCAGGCAGGGAAGCCGGTCCACAGCTCCCACATGAAAGACTTTCTAGAATGATCCACCAGCATGCCCATCAGCCCTCAAAGGCGTTCCTAAAGACAGACTTATGACAGATATGGGAATAGGGCACGTGAGCATGAAAGCATGCTGCTTTTTAGGGGGGGTGAGCAAGCCCTCCAGCAGAGCTGAGTCAGCCCCGGCACATCTGCACCACGGATGGGTTCCCGGCAATCACAACGGCCGCCTGTCAGCCCCAGTGGCTCAGACGTGTTGGAAAGCCCGCAGGCAGTCGTCTCCATGCTGCGCTCGCCTAGGAGTGGCACCCCCAATGGAGAGGGGGGGGGGGGGGCGCGTTCCAACAGGCAGAGACACTGCCCAGCTTCGCAGGGGAGCCAGGGTTCAATCAGCCCTCTGACACTTATCACATGCTTGTGGCTCCTACCTCAGACTCATTGCAGCAGAAGATGTCTGAGGTCCTGTAGAAGTCAGCATGCAGGCCGGCGATGGCGGGGGCAGGGTTGAAGATGGTCTTCACTGTTGGAAAGGGAGCAGAGTGTCACCCAGGAGTGACCTTTCACCATCGGGCCTGGAACCAACAACCTATGTGACTTACACAGGGTTAGGGTTACGGCCCAGAAGAAAGGCTTTGGATTTCCCACCATCCTACCTGAGGGCATGACAGGAAGTGACCAGAAAAAAGCCTCCCCCCTGACCAGGAAACAAGGCAAGGGCACCCAAAAAGGGCACCTGCCGGAGGCCGACCCCACTCAGCTCTCTGCAAGTCTGTGTCTATGTGTGTGTGTCTATGTTCCCCTCAGCTTGTAGGAGAGAGATTTTCAGGGCCTGTCAGCATATGCGTGTGTGTGTGTGTGTGTGTGTGTGTGTGTGTGTGNGCTGCGCTCGCCTAGGAGTGGCACCCCCAATGGAGGGGGGGGGGGGGGATCGCGTTCCAACAGGCAGAGACACTGCCCAGCTTCGCAGGGGAGCCAGGGTTCAATCAGCCCTCTGACACTTATCACGTGCTTGTGGCTCCTACCTCAGACTCATTGCAGCAGAAGATGTCTGAGGTCCTGTAGAAGTCAGCATGCAGGCCGGCGATGGCGGGGGCAGGGTTGAAGATGGTCTTCACTGTTGGAAAGGGAGCAGAGTGTCACCCAGGAGTGACCTTTCACCATCGGGCCTGGAACCAACAACCTATGTGACTTACACAGGGTTAGGGTTACGGCCCAGAAGAAAGGCTTTGGATTTCCCACCATCCTACCTGAGGGCATGACAGGAAGTGACCAGAAAAAAGCCTCCCCCCTGACCAGGAAACAAGGCAAGGGCACCCAAAAAGGGCACCTGCCGGAGGCCGACCCCACTCAGCTCTCTGCAAGTCTGTGTCTATGTGTGTGTGTCTATGTTCCCCTCAGCTTGTAGGAGAGAGATTTTCAGGGCCTGTCAGCATATGCGTGTGTGTGTGTGTGTGTGTGTGTGTGTGTGTGTGTGTGAGCATCTCTCTTTTTATAGATTGTAAGAACAGACACACAGCACGGACAGAAACAGTGTGTTTACTTCTGTGCTGTGTGTCTGTTCTTACAGTGTGTTTA